CCATACAAAAATATTATCTTGGGGGCTGGGGACTTAGCTCAGTGGTTCTGCGCCTGCCTCACAGCACAAGGACCCAAGTTTAATCCCCGTTACCAAAAAAGACAAAAAAAACCAAAAACAAAACAAAACAAAAAACCCAAAAACCATTTTCTTGGCAAAGAACCTGATGAACAAAATAGCCCTTTTGCAGAATGTTCCATTTTAATTTTCCCTTGAGGACAGAAAAGAGATTAACTTTAGGTCATGAAAAGCAAAAATTACTTAAGTTTCTAAATCACTCTTTAAAAAAATTCATTTAGTGAATGTTTCATTTTTAAAACACTAAAACAGATGTTTGACCTCTCTGCCTTGCAACTACACTTCTGTAAAAAAATGTTCAGAATGTCATGTTATATCCCAGTTAGCATGTTATTGCAACAAAAACATAAACACTAATAATTCCCAAATTGGGAATAAAGAACTCATTAAAAAAGGAATCACATATGTAAACCCATTCATAACTGAGAAGAATATTTCATATGCTAAACAATAGCATGTACTTGATGACACACAGGATTTATTTTTATGTACATATGAACTACTGAATCATAAAATATAACATGCCCATGAATTCAGGTGTATCTGAAAGGAGCAAAAAAATTCATGCAAAAAACATTCAAACATTTTATTTCAGAAATGATTATTTAAGTGAAAGAGATTTGTAGCCCTTACTAGTCTATAAATGACCTAACTGTATGTACTAAGTTAAGTTTTGGGAAAGCCTTAAAACTTGGTTCTTCAGTTAATAAGCAGTCGATAAAGTTCTAATAGAAAAAGGCTCTTAACATAGGTTTTGTAATTTTAATATCAACTATTGTGGAATCAGGGAATTACCTGATTTTAGAGCTTCTGGAGACCATGATCTGTTAATCCTACTCCTTTATTTTCTATAATGGTAGTAACAAAGTTACTGTAGCAAAGTAACAAAAGCCATGTAGCCTCTTTTTATTTTAGTTTTACTTTTTGGCAGTACTGGGAGTTGAACTCAGGGCACCAAGAGACCAGGCAAGAACTCTGACCTACATCCCCAGGCTTTTAAAAAAAATGTTTTTACTTTAAGATAAGGTCTTGCTAGGTTACCCATACAATAGCCTCAAACTTGCAAACATCCTGCCTCAGCCTTCCAAATATCTGGAATTATAAACTGTGCCACCACACCAGTCTTACATGATATTTTTCAGGAGCAAATTTGTTACAGTTTATTTTTCTCTCAAGGATACTCCAAATTTCCTTTCTACAAAAGTAAGAATCTTTTAAAATTACAATATATGCTCATTATTTTATTTAAGTGAGTTATGTGTGTGTTTCAAGCAGAAAAAAGCTTAAACTGGAAGTCAAAACTGTTCTAATTCATGTTCCAGAAATAACTAAGGATTTAGTCTAATTATCTTCCAGTTTTTTACTACCATCTACATTTATATATGCATGCAACTGTAGGTTAGTCATATCTACTTATACTTTATAGAACTTATTTTTTGCCCATTTACCAATATATAACAAAGTTTTTTCCAGATCAGTACATACATAGAACTCTTGCCATTTGGTAGCTGAGCAATATTCTAAAGGGTATACCATAACAAAATAAATCTATATCCAAAGATAGTAATAAAAACTTACTTTTGGAATTTTTGCTACTTTAAATTATCATAGCAAGTGTCTTTTTTATTACTATAAACCTACCATACATAATTAATACATTCATTGTATGGAACTGCTACATAAACATACTCTATCTGGATCCTTTTTACTTACCCATCCTCTTCCCTTCCCTCTCCACAAATCTTATCTCCTTTCTTCCTATCATCTATATTTTGCTCTTTAAATTATTTATACTTTGGGTTTGTCAAATAAGAAATCATATGATATTTAATCTGTGTATGATATATTTCATTGAGCATTATGGTCTTAGGGGGCATCCATTTTTCTACAAGTGACTCAAATTTATCCTGCTCTTCTTTACTATAGTGTCTTATACTCAGAAGAATGTATTTCCAGGTATGGTGAACCATGTCCTACTTTTGTCAGTTCATTTTTAGAAAGTGTCTATTGTAAGATTATATTTTTAATGCTAGACTGAATCATTATAGATACTCAGTAAGAATTTCTGAGAAACACATCTTTTGAAATTGAAAAAATAAATATGGTGTGCTAAAAAATCTAATGGCAGTATCCAAAGTCATAAAATACAAAAAAGATATTAAAGAATAATGACATAATGAGCACACACATACATAGTTTTAGAAACAGAAAGTTGTCATCATTTTTGGAAATCTCTAGGTTCACTAGCCTTCTTAGTTCCTTAGACATAAGTTTCTTAAATATTTTTTTAAGGGGCCAGGGATTGGCTCAGTGGTTCTGGTGCCTGCTTTGCAAGTGCAAGGACCCATGTTCGATTCCTGGTACCAAAAAAATAAATAAATAAGAAAAATAAAGTATTGAGAATCTAAAATGTAACTCTGGGACTCCAGATAAAATAAACAAAATGTAGGTTAAATAAAGCAAGAATTACAAGATATAATAATAAAATTTGTAGTTGAAAGAAATCTTAAGTAAGAAAATATAGCATGTTCTGGATTGAAAGACTTCATACAATAAACATATCAGTTCTCTCCCAAATAAAGAGGAAGCATAATTCCTATCCCAGGTAGAAAAGCAAAAGCCTTATAATTGTCAACATACTGCTAGAGAATAACAAAGAATGAGAATTTGCTTTCTCAGTAATCAAAAAATGAGTTTAAGATCAAAAAATGAGCTTATATAATGTTACTCAAATTAACAGAACAGAATCATGATCTCCAAAACAAATATATACATGAATAGAATTGTGGCTTATGGAAAAATTGGCATCTTGGTCCAGTGATGAAATGATGAAGAGTAAATAGTGCTGAGGTGTTTGGATAACCTCATATTATATATAATATACCCCTGACACAAGAAATGTACACATATCTCACATCATATGGACAAACTAATTCCACATGAATAAAACTTAAATATGAAGAACCACAAAAGCTAACCTTAAGATTTAAAATGTTCCAAACATGACACAGGAGATATTCTTATGGCTTTAGGATAGGAAAAATTTGCTTAACAAATTACAAATGGTACCAATCTTGAAGAGAAGGTTGGTAGATTTGACCAAGAAGTTCTATATATTTAAAAAAATACCAAGAAATGAAAACAAAACCTCAGAGAGAGATTTTTGCAAAGGCTTATAACTACCAGTGATTTGTCCTGCAAGTCCATAAAGACAATTTAATTCTAAAATGGCAAAAGATGAAAATAAACCTAGTTGGTTAATAAGTGTATAAAAAGGTGATCTACAAAAAAGATGATCTGTATCAATAATTGAAAAAAAATAGCCTTTTACCCTTTGGCAAAAATATAAAAGTACCAAGTGTTAATTTCAGATGTGGTGGTGCATCCCTATAATCCCAGCACTTAGGAGGCTGCAGCAGGAGGCAAGTTTAAGGCCAACCTGGGATATGCATGTTGAGTTTAAGCCAGCCTGAACTAAACAGTGAGGCCCTGTCTCAACAAAACAAAACAGTACCAAGTGTTAGGGAAGCGTGAAACTAATGGAACACGTAAACTCTGTTGGTTAATGTGTAAATTGGTACAACTACTTTAGAAAGTTTTATAAGGTATGACTAATAAGCTACAGGGGTGATCAAAATATATGGTGAGTGTTTAAATTTTAAAATTTTAATACAGGGACAGACTGCTATTAATCCATCTCAGAATATTCAACATCACTTCAAACATACTTATCCTATTATTCTTGTCACATCTGCAGCAGTTCTGGAAGTCCTCTTTTGTGAGTGTCTTTAGAAGGTATGATTAAAAAAAAATACAGTGAAAGCTACTCCTGAATACCATCCAATGGAAAGGTAGGCTCATAGAAACATGGTATATCCTCATTCATTTTAGTCACCAGATATGGTACTGTACAGCTTCTGGCTCTTTCTCAATGTCAAGATAACCATGAAAGGTAAACACTGAGAATAGATTTAGGATATCAGGGCAGCCACAACAGCACAACTAAAGACACTTGGAAAAGGAGACTCCCAGAACTGCTTCAGAAAATGACACAAATGATAGGCTAAGTGTGTTTGAAGTGAGAGGGAATATTCTGAGTGAGATTAATATTAATATGTCTTTTATTATAATACATTTTTTAAAAAATTAGATATCTACTGCATTTTTATCATGCCTCATATAAGACAGAAAATATGATTTGTTATTATCTAATGTAGCTGCATATGGAGCATATTCTGTGACCCAGAGATTCTATTCCTAGAGGAGCTTTTGTCCACATATACAAAGAAACATGGGCAAAGAATCTTGTGTTATTTTTTTTTAATATTTTTTTCTTGAAAAAGGATTTTCACATCAGTTGTAGAAAAAAATATGCCATTGTCCTAGAACCTCTTATAAGAGAAACAGATTAACTGCTTCACTTAATTTGGGTCTTCATTTTTTTGGGGGGGTACCGGGGATCAAATTCTGGTCCTTACGCTTGTGAGGCAGGTGGCAGAACCGCTGAGCTAAACCAGCCCTGAGTCTTCATTATTTGATGTTTATTTCTGTAAGATCATACTTGTTTTAAAAAACAAATCCACTAAAAAATTCTTCTTTTGTGCTTTATACTTACAAACTCCTTAGTAAATAATTAATTCATTTATTATTTGGATTACCCACCATTAATTGACCTCTGGCTTACAGTACAACTAAAAATTGACTGAAAAAGGCTGCTGTGATTATAAATTTAAGGCTCAGTGCTTTAAAAATGACTTTTCATTTTCAAAGATCTGGCTTATAAAACTGACAAAGTAACCTAGTACTTCTCAAGAGAAAACAACAAAAGAAGGGAAAACTCAATATTTATGAAATGAATATTAAAATAGAAATATATAAGTATTCTTAAACATGACGAGTAATCTGAAAGGGCTAAAAATTACCTGTAAAGTACAATTCATCATCCTTATTATGTAATCAAATTGTTGATGGTCCAATATTGCCCGGTTTTGCTGGACATGCAAACCCAGTTCATCTGTGAGACATTGTCTTGCTGTCTTTCCTTTAAGGGCCCTCAGGGCAGCAGGAAGGGTCTGAAGATAAGAGAGTTACAAATGACCAAAAGTAACACTGAGAAAAAAATAAATCTCAAATAATCACACTGAATATTCAAATGAATCCTGTAAACTATTTAATAAAGTTATTGGTAAAATTAAACTGCTAGGGAAGATGTAATTTACTATTAACATCATTAAGAAATAGAGTTGTGGTTATTGTTATTTGTAAGCCATGGCAAAAGATAAGCAGAATTAGCTTATATGGTAAATTGAAGAGAAAAATTAAATATGCTTTTTTTCCTTAGTTTAAAAAACATTACCATATGAAAGCTGAAAGCAAGAGAAGCAAAAGAAAATGTACATTTCAATCATAAGAAAACAGAAACAAAAGAAAGGAAGGAAGGGAGCAAAAATCCTTTAGAGGAAAGGGTCATTTAGTACAAGGGTAAACATCTGTACATGCTTCACCAGCCTCCAAATAGATGTTGAAAACTATAATCAGTAAGGAAAGGTTACACTGTATTCAGTATGCTTCAATGAAGATAAGAAATTTAAAGGGATATGTGTAAGCTTAATACGTTTTATGATCCATGACACAGTCTAGATTCTTTGCGATAAATGAAATGATATTTAAATATTGTTTCTCAGCAAAATGTCAAAGTAGGGATTAAAGAACAATGTTTTATGTTTGAGGCAAAAATATTACCATTGTGGCTACAGTAATTTGGCTTGGACTACAGTGTTGAATCTTAGACTCTATTCATTTAAAGTGACCAAAACAACGAAAGGACGTTTTATTAGGGCAAAGGAGAGAATTTAGAGAGGTCAGTTGGCAACCTCAACAAGTAAATCTGAAATGGAAATGATTAAATGCTTACTTAGGAAAGACGGAATTTTATTACCTTTTCAGTCTCCAAAGTTTTGTTCTCAAATATGAATGAGATACAGTTTCTAACAACTTCCAGTCTTTGTGCACTATTGAAAACTGTTGACACTTTATCCAATATTGAAACTAATAAAAAATTGAAAACAAACAAACCATAAATAAACTTCTCTGCTCATTACAAAAGCAAGGGAAATATTATTTTAAGACTATTAACATGAGCAACATTCAAAATTTATTTTTTCCCTTGTTAGATGGTACTGAAGGCATCCCATTTCATTATTTTGATTACATTTTAAAATTTTTAAGTAGTAGACTAGTTGATGAACAATTAATTTCACATGATAGAGCCTAATGATATGCCTACCTTACACAAATTAATTCACACTGTAAAGTAAAATTTCATTAAACAAAGGTAAATATCTACTTTAAATTTTTTCTTCTTTGGTATGGGGCAGCGAACTGCAAGGCAGGCACAGCGCCACTGAGCTAAATCCCTGGTCCTATTTTTAATTTCAATTGTAAACAAATAGATGATATAAAATGTTTGGGTACAGGGCCACAACAAAAATAGCTAATACTCATATGCAAGATGACTACTGACAGAAAAAGAGGTTATTTCTAAGACATTACTAAGGAAAAACTGTATCACCCCCCCAACATTAAACACTACAAATTTGATTGGAGGAAATTTGAAGGGGAGAAATAGTGAATGATTATGACCAATGAATTGCTACAATGGCTTAGCAAAGTCACATTCCAGTGCTTTTCATTCCTGCAAATTTAGTACCTTTAATGAAGATTATTTAATGTCCAATAAGCCTAAGGAAATATACTCAGCATCATTAGTGGCTGTAGAAAAAGTTAGCATCCTTATACACTACTGAAGAAAATGTAAAATGATCTAGCTGCTCTTGAAAAGTTTGACAGTTTCTCAACACATTAAATTAATTACTATCAACCCAGCAATTCTACTCATAGGTATGTAACCAAAATTAAAAAAAGAAAACATGTTCACACAAAAAGGTGAAAATTAATGCTCATAGAAGCATTTATAACAGTCAAAAAGTTGAACTAACTCAAATTCTGTGAACTGATGAATAAAAAAGTGATAAATATCCTTATTATTCATACATAAAAAACAATGACATACAGATACATGCCTCAATATAAACCTTGAAAATATTACACTAAATGAAAGAAGCCAGCTGGATGTGGTGGTGCAACGCTTGCAATCCCAGCACTTGGGAGGGTGAAGCAAAAAGATTGCTGTTAGTTTGAGGCTAGCCTGGGCTACATAGTGAGTTCAAAGGCAGCCTGAACTACATAGTGAGATCCTGTCTCAAAAAATCAAACCCCCCTGAAAAAAAGAAAGAATCCAGTTACAAAATACAATTTATATAAAGAATATAATTTTATTCATATAAAATATCCAGAATAGGAAAACCTATGACAATGAAAAGTAGATTACTATCCAAATCTGGGGAGGAGGTTTTGGTAGAAATAGAAAGCTGCTGCTAAAGGGTATAGGATTTCTACTTGACCTATTAAAATGTTCTGAAACTAGTGGTAATGGTTCAAAAACTCTGGGAATATGCACACTTATATGGAAGAATTCATGGTGTGTGACCTGTATCTCAACAAAGAAAAGATTTTACAGTGATAGTAGTTGGGTTAATGATTATACTTGTGAAAGACAGTAAATGGAACAGAGGTTCTGACTGTTGATAATAATTTTAAGTTATATGAGTTTGTTCACTTTGTAAAAATTCATCAAATTGTATACCTGTAGTTTTGTGTGGTATCTTGATAAAAGGTTTACTTTTAAAGTAGACAGAGAAACAAATACATACCAACAGGTGGACCTGCTGGCACAACACATTTCTTTTCCATTCGTGTAGCAGGAGGTGCATTCTGATTCTTGGCAAGATTTTCCTGTATTAATTCCTGAACCAGGGCTTCGTTAATCTTTGGGAAAGGAAGAATGTGAACTCGCAAATGTGATCCTTCTGTTGGGCGTGGAACTTTCTGGAATGCCATATGAGGGTTTGGATTCTCCTACAGTATCAGACATAGGTAAAATTATTCAAAGGTTAAAATAATTGACAAAGAGGCAGAAAGGATATAGAAACTCATAGAGGCACATAATGAAACTGAACAGAAAAGTGATTATACATACATTTGTAAATATGCCAAAATCAGAGTACCAGAATCTTACTTCTTCCATGATTTATGAGCAGCAATTGGGATGGTCACTTATGTTCTTCTCCCATAAGCACTTTCTTCACCTGGTCTTTAGGTTTCCTTGCTACATCTTTGTTAATTTCTCTTTTCCCTAATCTCTTAACTATGTGACTATCTCAGGTTTCAGTTCTTGGGCCTCTTTTGTACTAATACTGAATTCCCTGGAAATCATGTCCATTCTCCTATCTGCTATCCACAAAAACACTAATGATTCACACATATTTCTTTCTTGAGCTTCCTCCTGAACTCTATCTATATACTGAACTATCAACACGAAGAATATCTGCTTGTATTTATGTTATTATCAATTTAAGTCTCAGAGAGAGCTCATCTTCATGTATCTCTAAACTTGCTTTCTTCATTCTTTTGCACTTTAGTAAACAGAATATTTATTTTTCCCAATCACATGAAAAGCTTTGAGACATATTGTGTGTGTGTGTGTGTGTGTGTTTGTGTGTGTGTGTGTGTGTGTTGGGGGGGCTGCTGGGGACTGAAACTAAGGCTTTTGCCTTGAACTACATCCCACTCTTTACTTTTAAAATAATTTTATTTCGAATCATGGTTTTGCTAAGTCACTAAATTTCCCAGGCTGCCCTCACCCTGGGATCTTCCTACCTCACCTGATCAGAGTGCTGGAATTACAGGTGTATAAGTACTACACGCTAACCAACTATGCCACTGGAGCTCTGGAATTACAGGTGTATATCACCATATGTGACCCACTTTGAGCATTCTTTAACGCCTCTAATACCCAGTTACTAGATCCCTTGGCAAACCACTATTCCTTCAATCATTTTGTTCCAAATAGGACTTCTTGTTCCTGCCTCAAGCCTTTTGCACTTTACTGTTCCCTCTGCCCGGGATGCCTGTTCTCCCTTGAATTTGGGTTTCTTTGCTCAAATGCCATCTTCTCTGACCACTCTAAATTTATACCCCTTTTCCAGCACATTCCTTATCCTTCTTATTATATTTTTCTCTTCAATATTTACAACCCTGTCTCACATACCATAAATTTTATTTGACACAGTTATGGTCTATCCTCTCATTAAAATAAAGTTTCATGGGGTCTGATGTCTCACTCAATTAAAACTGTTTATGTGTATGTATGTATGGGTATATATATATATATGTGTGTGTGTGTGTGCATACATACATACACACATAAACATAAACATACACACAGAGTGTTTTTGTCCTCTGAAATATACTGGTTAATCTAGAAACTGCGTGGTATGTAGCAGGCACTCTAAACTATTTCCTACTGCATCCAATGAGTAGAATATAATGTTGAATGCACATCAATATTGCAATAATTTAACTAACTTTGCTTAATAATTTAACTAAAATACTTTCATGTGTTTATTATTTATTTTGGTGTTGAGAATTGAATCAAAGGCCTCATACATGCTACCTACTCCAACCTCTATCAGCTAATACTTTTAAAGACTCTTAGGGCTGGCATAAACTTTTATTTGGAACCTCGTTAAGTAGGATTATATTTCAAATACTACAGGTAGAATGGAATCCATTCCTTTTATAATTTTTTCTAGAGAAAGCTTCTTTACATTCTTAGACCAATTCTAACATTTACTATCTTTTGCAAGCAGAAAATTACTTATTCCCAATGAATCTATGTTATTTCTGGAATACATTAAACTCAGTACTACACCACATATCCTCCTGACAGTTAAAAATGCCCAATTGTTATCAACTACTATAAATGCTTCCCAAAATTTTTTTGGTTATGTGGCCTAGAAAAAGACAGCTAGGCTAAAACATATGTAATAGTTAAAGTATCTCAGCAATTTGCTGGAAATAAGACTGCTTTAAGTATTAAAAACTCTGGGTTCTGGTTCTTGTTCTAGTTCTATTCATCAATGTGATGCTGGACAAATAAGTGTCCCTAGGATCTATAATGAGGTTTATCTTTCCAGGTTTCTGATGTGAAATCAGATTTTAAAAAACTATTCTTGCCAAAGAAGGCTTCATATACGGTTTGTGTTTTCCCTCATATCACTAGCAAAAACAGGGAAAAATAAATTCTTATGTCAAGTCTAATAGGACACTTGTTCTAAAGCATATACTCAAAAAACTGTTCTAAAATTCCAAATTCAGTAGCATAGCAGGAAACACATCAACACTTAAATATCAGCAGCATTCCTGCATGTCAGTAACAAACACACTGAGAGGGAAATTAGGGAAATAATACCTTTCACAAGAACATTCAGGAAAACGAAATACTTAGGAATTCATCTAACCAAGGAAGGGAAAGACCTCCACAATGAAAACTATCATATTCTGAAAAAAGAGATTTGAAGAGGATATCAGACATTGCAAAGATATACGGTTCTTGGATAGGCAGAACCAATATAGTCAAAATGGCTATACTTCCAAAACTGTTACATATATTTAATGTAATCCCAAACAAAATACCAATAACATTACTTACAGAACTGGAGAAAGCACTCTTAAAATTCATATGGAACTGAAGAGATCTAAAATAGCAAAAGCAATTCTGGGCAACAAGGGTAAGGCAGGGGCCATTACAGTCCTAGATTGGAAGATATACCACAAAGCTATGGTAATAAAAGCATCATGGTACTATACTGGCAAAACAATAACAACAAAAAACAAAACAAAACAAAAACAGACTTGTGGATCAATGGAACAGAATAGAAGATACAGAAACAACTACAGGCACACTCAACTATGTTATCTTTGAAAAAGGGGCCAAATCTGTTCCCTGGAAAAATGATAGCATCTTTAAGAAATGGTGCTGGGAAAACTGGCTAGCTAGAACATGCTGAAGATTAAACCTAGACTCATGTCTCTCACCATGCACTAAACTAAAATCAAAGCAGATAAAAAGATCTAAACATGAGCACAGAAACATCTGCTGGAAAACAACCCTTGAAGACACAGGTAAAATCCTTGAAGACATAGACGTTAGCAACATCTTTCTTAACAAAACATCAGTTGCACACGAAATAATACTAAGAATCAACAAATGAGGTCACATCAAATTAAAAAGCTTCTGTATTGCAAGGGAAATTAAGAGACAACCTATAGAATGGAAATTTTTTTTTTTTGCCAGCTATTCCTCAAAAGAGTAATATCCAGAAAATATAAAGAACTAAAAAAATCAGATCCCCCAATTTAAAGATCTAATTGAAAATGGGCATCTAAAATGAATAGACGCTTCTTAAATAAATAAGTATAAATGGCCAATGAATATATTAAAAACAGTTCAATATTGCTGGCCATTCGAGAAATACAAAGTACAACCACCTGAGATTCCAGAAAAAATGGCTACCATCAAAAAATGAATAAATTACAAAGCTGGAGAGGTTGTAGGGACTGTAAATTGATTCCACTATGGAAATAAGTATGGCAATTCCTCTAAAAACAAAAAATAGAAATTTCATTTGCCTCAGCTACTCCCCTTCTCAGTTTCTTCCAAAGAGCTAAAGAATCATATCACAATGATGCATGAATACCTATGTTTATAGCAGCACAATTCATAATTCCTGTATATCCATCAACAGATAAATGGACAAAGAGACCGTGCTATTTACACACAATGCAGTATTACTCTATCATAAAGAAGTATAAACTTGAGTCACGTGTGGAAAATGGATGCACCATGAGACCACAGTGTCAAGTGAAATAACTCAGACACTCAAGCTTAAATATCACATGGTTTCTCGCATATGAAAAAAAATCTATATAAAAAGTATAAAGTAAAAGATACAATCTCAACTTAGTATAATTGTTTTGCATGTGTTATATGTCCTTTGGTCTATTAGTCTTTTAATTTATATAGATGATAATTAACTTAATAAGGTCTTATAAGAGAAATAAATGAATCTGATGCTGGAAAAATAAAAGGGAGATAGAGGGAAGGGGAAAAAAGAGAACTGAAGTGTTATGCACGTGTACTAAATCCCTCCAGTGAATGCAATCACTGTGTTTTACAAACATGTACTAATAAAAGTCAAAACAAAACAAAAAGTCAAAAGTAAAAAAATAAAATTCTGCCTCAGATCAATAAAAACATCACGGTCTATAGTGCTTCAAACTGCTCTTTGCAAAAAGTAGTATGAGCAGTACAGCTCAGTGGTAGAGTGCTTTCATAACAGAGTCCCTGGGTTTGATACAGAGACAAAACAGGGTACTGCATTTTTGTTCTTCTGTGTTCTTTAGATATTCATCCTATCAAATATATTACATTCTTGAAATTTAAAACCATCAATGATCTAAAACATATTAAGAGGATTTTTTTTTTTCAGACTGGAAAAGTAATTCACGTGCATCTTGAAAAGCTTGAATCACTGAAAGTATATTTTTTACCTCTGTTTTTATTTATACGTATTTCTTAATAATAATAAAATTTAAATATTTCTCAGGAAGCAAATACTCATTATGACAAAATTTAAAACACAAAAAACAACAGTAGAAATCTTAATAATGTCTTGTTCCAAAAATGACTTAAGATGGTTTAGAAAAATAAGGTTGCACACACCACAGACATATATGTCAAAATCTTTTGAAAATTTGACATATAATGTGACATAATACAACAAGTTTATCCTAAACTTTTGAGGTAAGATCCAAAAATAGTGAAGGAAATTCTGAATTCCAAAGAGTAAATGGGAGTGTCAAGCTTTCCAGATTCCCGACCTTATACAATCTTTAAAAATTAATATAATATGATAATATTAGTGATTAAAAATTAAAGATTAAAAAGACAAATGGAACAGAATATCTAGAAATAAGAGTACATGTGGAAAAGTGCTACAAGGAAGTATGACAGT